AACGCGATCTCCGCATAAAGATTGCTCAATCTCGAGATATGTACTCTGCTCTGGTCCGATGCCAATGTCACTAGTGTCAAGATAATCTCGGCACACAACTGAAATTTTTTTTGGCGATTATCACTTCACATTTTTCAACACTTTTAAGGTGATCTTAGACGGCAAACGACTACAAAATTCTTTTTGTCATAGTTTTGGAAACACTCAGCTAAAACTTATCGATCGCCCTAGGCACATAAAAATCTATAGAAATTGGACTGGAAAAATTTAATTAAATTCCCAATTGCGTAGAATAGTTGATAGTAAAACTAGTTCTTCTTTTATTTTGTAGCAGATTGTCAAAATGTTTCAGTAATATTATTCAAAGTGTGTAATCCCTGTTTCACAGGTAAGTAATGAAGTCCCAGAATCCTGATTTGCCAAGATTTTTTGTCATAGACGTCATTTCTTAATCGTTATGGCAGCAATGACGTCATGTCTTGATGAAAATACACAAAAAAAAACAACGGAACATTTTCTCGCGACATAGTGGCAAAGTAAATAGTCGATAATTTTTTTTTTTTGTGTGTGACATTTTCTTTTCGTTATATTCGCGTGATTATTATCGACAAAAAGAAAATCTGTAGAAATAAACGCAGTATAAAGGAAAACAAAACAAAAATGCAGAGTTTGTCTGCTTATCCATCCTTGATGTTTACTTCATATGTCATCCTTTTCTTTAAATACGTTTTTTTCTTTTTTCCCAATGAAGGTCGTCGCTCATCATTTCAAAACTTTTATCAACTCTAGGGCAGCTACTCTACGACATTTTAATTAGAAAAATTCTTTTTTTTTTCTTCAATGATGAGATAATACGTAATAATGATAAAAATAGTCCTAGAGAATGAATACAAATAAGTAACAATATCTAGAGCAGATAAATTTTTAATTAACAAGAAATTGCAGATAATACAAACGAATATTTCTATGTATTCTAACAAGAAAAATGACACGTAAGATTTTTTTAGCTGGTGCTTGCATTAAAACTCCCATTATGTGTTAAATTGTTATATAAAGCGATTGGTTTCACTATGCCATTTGTGGATTCCCGGAAGTCTTGTTGTCGTGTACTAGTAAAGAATAAACAACAATTGAGAAGCTCATAATATTTAGTGTCTCTTGTTGCTTGACTAGATTAGTACTGAACAGTTAATGGCATTTTAGATGATGTTCTTGCAACAATGGCTGATAATTCCCTTCACAGCTGAAAACAGCTTAACATTGTGTCAAGACAGTTTTAAACAAACAGAAAATGTGAGATATTGTTATTTTTCTGCTTTATTTAGCTAATCTTATAGCGATAATCATTCATTTGAATTTTTCCACAATTAAAACGGTATGCATGATCTTTCATTAGTCTCGCAAAGCACGGAAAATATTGGACTTTTCTTTATTCTTTAGCTGCTGTGCAATTATAGCAAACAGCGTTGTTGGGTAGCAGTTAGCGATTAAAACAATCAAATGTCAACAGTATGTAGTAATTAAGATAGCTGCACTGACTTATACACTTAAATAACTACAAAAGTGTCATCACACGAGATTTTGTATTTAACGAGGAAAAATGTCAGATAGAATTTCAATTATTATTCGCAGCAGGCAAGTATTCAAATCATGTTTTGAATGCTGTAGATCAAAAACAGCAAAAACAGACATGTAAATACTTTCAATGATGATCATCCAACTTTTAAAAAACTAGAGATCATGAAGACTTCGAGTTGATACGTGCAAAAAAAGAAGAATGTTTTATGTAGGCCTCAATTCTTCAACTATATGAGGGTAAATATTGTTGAAGTGAGTACATGTTGGGTTGTATCTGTTATTTTTTTCACACATATACCTAACTGGGCACATGAAGATTATGATGGTGTATTGAAACTGGGTATAAATACCACAGTTATAACAACAGTACAAAACAAGAGTAAAGCACTTTTGTTATCTTTCTGAAAATGTCCTGATGCACTAGGACACTATTCTTAGTACCAGCAACTCATTAGAATCTACAATCAAATTCGTAAGTAAAATTATCACATCGTTCACTGATCTTATTTTTATCTGATGGATCGATATTTGTGTGTGGTGAATCATTCAAAATACTTAGAAGCAAGAAGTGCTTTCACATGTTATAAATGATACAAACAAGTTTCTTGTCAGATTTGGTTTGACGATATAGCCCCCAATCATTGCTTTTATGCTTCAGAATATTTGTCATAATCCAGTTAAGTTTCCGGAATGTTGAGAAGTTGACGCTGAATAGAAAAAGATATTACTTCTCTTGAATTGATCAAGTATTTTGAATTTTCTTATGATTATGCTTAGATACTAAAAGTTACAAAAAATGCAGTTGCAAGTTGCACACTGCAAACAAAGTTGAAAGGTTAATGTTTCATAAGAGTGTGCTGTATGTTGATGCTGAAGTAGTTACAGGTAACAAGAATTTTCCATTCATCTAGTGGATGTTTATTGAAGTTGCAGTTGTTGCCTTTCGTGATCACACACTTGACATTAATAAGAGTCTACGTGTGTTGTATGAGCTTTCATTTACTATTCAGAATGATAATCAACAATAAAATTGTTACTTTATATTTTCATCAAAAAAGAGACTTTAAAAGGGAGAAGTTGTATAAAAGCACTTAAGTAACAGAAAAAGATAAGCAATATGCCCCTGATAAATCGTTCACATCATTTTAGTACTCGATCTTTTTTTGACGGAGCTCGATGCACGGGATAAATTTTGTGTTAATGGTGTTGAGGGTGTTGTATTTATATTCTTCATTTTTTTTTTACTCTCCATCAAATTTCCTTTTTTCTCCTCTTTTTCTCTTTATCTGCATTCTTCTTTATACTATCGTTAACGCCCGTTTTGCCATGGCCGTCACCGTCAATATATATACGTTATTGTTCTCATTTCTTCGACATATTCAATAAGAAGAAAAAAAAAGAGCCACATAATGGGGAAACTACAATGAAAAAAGAAACGAAACGTTGGCCCTTATCCAAATAGTTAAGTTTTCATTGTGTACAGTTATGTCATCGATTTTCATGCGACCTTTATGGATGATGGTTACTAATGTTTTATGTCTTGTGGTCAATCAATGATGGATTGTACACTCCTTTTTGGTCCATACACCTGTTTTCAACTCGTTCTTTCTCTCTCTCTCTCGCTCTGCATTTCTCTTCTTGCAAAAATGAAATGTTTATTGTGAGAAATGGATATCCTTCACTTTTTCTCTTATTTCTTCGACAAAATGCACACACCAACACATGGAGTGAAAATGAAAACTTTTAATTTTTTGTAAGTATCAAACGAAGGTTAATTAGAAAAGAATGTTTTTATATATAATCATATTTCTGTTTTAGCAAACAGCAATTTCTCTTTTCTGTTAGTAAGACTTTATTTAATACCATTAGGATTAAAATGTTGGGAAGAGCTTCCAAAGGTGTAGAATTTGGGCATGTGATAATTCTGGCTTTTATTACCAATAAGCCACTTTTTTCTTCAGATCAATATTGACCATGGATGATGTCATCAACCATGTAATTTATGTAAAGCAGAAGCATGATATTGAAAAAGAGTAGGATGCAGGAAACAAAAAAAAAAGTTGTCGGTTATTAATGCTTATTCGAGCATATCGTCGTAGTTGTTAGTACGGCACAATGATCTCATTAAAATAAAATAGACGCAAAGCTTTCATAAGGAATTATACGCACAATATATCATCTGTTCGATTTAATTAGTTTCATAGTTATGTAAGCTCACGTCAGTCTTACAACGAGATCAATTGTTAAAAATCTAACGTTCATTCACGTTTTCAAGAGATAACGCTTTTGAATGTGTCTTGGAATACTTCAGACGACTTACAGTATGAAAAGTTGATAAATCTTTAAACTATTCAATTACAAAAGTTTTCTTGATTAGAACTTTAGTCACTCAAAACACTAATGGAAATGTATTGAATTTTAGACATAGATTTTATCTGATGTTGTATAAAACAACAAGTTTTTGAGATTTTTTTTGTTTTTTTTTGTTTGTCTTTTATTTTAGATTTCTTTCTTTCATTTGTTCTCTTATTTCAGAAAACTAGTTTATTCTTTATCGATTATTCTGACAGAGCACATTGGCTCATTTTCTTCTTTTCTCATTCTTTATCGTCATTATTTCATTAACGTAAAACAACATTCACAGATCGAATGGTAGGTACTGTATATTCACTCTATCACCATGACGTTTAATCTCTGTTTAAAAGAAGGATAGTGATGATTCACATTTTTATAATTATATTTGACAGAAATAGATAGATATGAAATGTTAGAGTGCACGCATATCCTAGATGCATCTTTATGAAAAAGGCAAAATGTGAGTTTTAATGTGATGTAACAAATGGATCGTTGAAGAATTATTGCTTCATCCTATGTGCAATTCAACGTATCACCGATGCTTACAAGATTCAACAGCATACGTCGGTCATTTAGTGAAACAATGTGGCAAAGAAAGTAAACCGGTTACGACAGAGAAAAGAATCATAAATCAGTGAAGATCAAATTAATGTCTTTTTTGAAAAAGTAAATGTTTTTATCAGATTAGTCCTCTTAAAATTTATATAACGAGAGATAGTACAACATTCTAAATGTACAACGTACTCTTGTCATAACTGACAACATGTTTCAAGTAAGTTTAGTTTGGTAGTATTCGTTTTTTGTTGCGATAACCTCTTCAGTAAATCTAAATGTGACAATGATTTTTCAAAGATCCACCTATGGGATACAATATTGGATTTCGCACTTTCTTTTCTATTTCATCATAGAGATGTGTCGAGGATGTGCACTCTAACATTTTCCTATCTCTATCTATTTCCGTCAAATATAATGAGAAAAACGTGAATCATCAATATTTTTCTTTTAAATGAGATAGTTCATTCAACGAAACTTAGAGTGACACAAGAACAAAATTTATATCGTTGAAAATGATTAGATTACCAACTGGAACCCATATTCAAATATCAAATATGGTCGATGAAAAACCCACGATTGAACAACAAAGACGAGCCGAACTAAAACATCGTCTTAGTAACAGAGAAGCAGTTGACTTTAGTTCACGATTAGAAAGATTTTCGTGGACACAAGTCAATGAATATTGTTTATTGCCAACTATCTTTAGGTACGTAAAAAAAAACATGCTCATACATTTTTTTTTTGTTCAACTGACCTAATCTGGGTTAATGAATGTGACTTAGTTACTGACGTGAGAGTGATGTTTTGGCTTGGAGAGAGGGAGATTTGAATGAAACAGACAGCTAAGTTGATTCAGTACGGTAAAGTATATAGTAGACAAGTCTTGTACGTATTAGATGTTTCAAAGTTGATCAACTGATTTTCGATTGCGCCTTGCTTATAATAGGTTTGTGTAAAACATAAGTGGAAAATGTTTTTGTATGAGTGTCCTTTTATCATCGCATCATATCATTTTCCTTTTTCCAACAAAAGAAAAGGTGAAAACGATGTCTGACTTGCATCCGTTATCAACGGAAAGAGAAAAACGCACGTGGATAATAGCAATGTAATGTTAGAAATAAGGAAAGAAACATAATGCTTTACAACTTTTTTAAGAATAAATATAAATAACTAAAATAATCGAAACGTATGAACATTCTATAATTCGTTACATCGAAATAATTTAATTATCATCTCACATGTGATATAGACAAAAGCAATATGGAATTCTGCTTTTCATCACTATTTCATTAATGTACTAACATATTTTTATGTAAAGGTTTATTAATTGTATTTATCAAAATGACATTCGTGTTCTGTGTATCACATGTTTACTTCGCATAGTTTACCACATGATATGAAGCACTGATAATGAACGAAAGTCTAGGCATGTGCAAGTTCGAATATAATCTATCAACCGATTGTTACAAATTAACAGTGCTAACAATGAGTACAAACCTCGAAAACAAATGAACTCGAAAACTTTTCTACATTCATCATCAAGAAGATTTAACAATGCTATTATGTTAAAGGTGAAAAGTGCGGTGTGGGACGATGCATCCCATCACGTCACAGATTATTGTGATTCTAAAGTCAAACTTCTATTCTCAATAAAGCTTATAATCTTAATCAAAGATAATACTTAATTCATAATACACTTTATCAAAAAGCAACAACAACTACTTTTAGAGTAACGACCAAGCGCTAGATCAAAGAGTGTTGCTTATTTTGGATAATCTGGACGCGGCTGTTGAAAGAATCGAGCATAGTCAAGTTCAAAAGGGATATATCGCTGATGTGATTTTGTAGTTTCATGTGAAAATAAAGTTTGAATGAGAAATCAGAATTTTTATTAGATAACGGCGCTTCAGATGTGTCAGACAATTCTGACGACACCCATTTCATCCCAAAAATCAAAAATGGCACTGTTTATACTTAATGACGTCACTTCTTTTTCTGTGATATCGTTACGCAATTCAAAAGGGCTTTCTAACAGCAACAACGTCTTGTTAAGGGCTATTTTCGTTCTTAATGCTTTTTTTTACTCTCAACTTGCTTCTGAGTTTTACTTTTACAATCTTTTCCCATTCTTACATCATACTCATAAAACATTCATACAAAGGAAAAAAAGAAAACGTTTCACGTTCTTCCTCTAAAGTCTTTGAATTTCAGCCAGGTGGAAGATTTTGGAGACAAGTTTCTGGAAATCCGACGTCGGAACATACTGGATTATACCACCCGGAATTCGTGCCGGAAGATGTCGGAGAAGCTCTGACCCGATCCTTCAAGTTCCAGACATCGGATTTCGCCGGGTTTGACAGAATGTGACCGGTTTTAAGGCTAAAAGTAGCCTTAAATTTTTTTATTTCATGTTCGTTTTAGTTAATTTTCTAGTGGCTCCTTCCTCTGTTCATTCGCGAGAGTGGAAGGACCCACTAACTACGATGTGTATAACATGTCCGTTGAACAGTGTGATGACTCACACTGTTATGAATTTGAAAAGAAAAACATCTCGTTTTTTCATTTTCTGCAGTGTCGTATTTAAGTGCTGCTGCTGCTGCAAAATAAAATGGCGGATATATTATGTGCACAGAAAATAAAGAATAAAGAAGTGCACACCACAGGATCCGTTAATTTCCTATGACCGGAAGTTAACGGATCGGATCTTCGAATCCCTCAGGATCCAGATAGTGGAACGCAAAGAAATTAGGGTATTCCGATTGCTGGATGTGGTCGGATGTACAAAATCCGGAAATCACTGGAATTAAACGGATCTGATAAATTCGATCTGGACATTAAATAAAACACACTTTGATTTGTTTCATTCATTCAAAGGGATTAATTTTCTTTTTATTATCATGTGTAAGGCATGCATTAATAAAAAAGCTAATCGAAACTGAGTATTTTTTTCACTCACGCGAGAGAATTGTGCTTCTTATTGTAGAAAGAAAAAGAAATAAGAAGTAATAGTTCTATATTTCAAAATGAAATGAATAAGAATACGAAGCAATTGTTCCCTTCACGAAACGCGTTGCTTCTAACAATGAATTTTTGAGGGCTTTATTACTAGAGAGATGAAAAAACAGATCATAACGGGTATATTTTGAAACATAAATTGGTTTATATTCCAGGATGATTATAGTTGCTATACGGTTGTCGAAGTAAAATATGATTTGTCGTAAAAATTATTTTTCCCTAAACGAATGATGCGAGAATCACTGTTAACTGTTGAACAAAACCCATAAAATATTGCTTCTTTAACGGTCTTTTAGAAAGCAGAGACCGCGTTAGATATGCATTCCATTACTTGAGATTTTACGGTAAAGTCTTAGAACAGTAAATTATATCGGCCTATAAAAAATTTCAATCAGGAAGAGATCAAAAGTTCTTCCATAACAAAATTTTATAGAGAAATATATTGTAAATCTTATGAGACATCTCCGATGTTTGAGTGACTTTTAGTTAAGGCAGGAGTCCTTTTGATAACTGGCAGAGGCGAGGACAGAGAAAACAGGTCTAAACCCGTACTGTAGTCGAATATTCCCCATCGAAGCCAAACTTTACTCAAACTTTATAGATGTCTTATAAGATTTACAATATATTTCTCTACAAAATTTTATTGTGGAAGAAACTATGTATCTTTTTCTGACAGAAATTATTATAAACGAGTTGCAAAGCTCTTTTGCGCGTGGGTACTCTTAATATCATCATAGTATCATTATGTTATATCTTTCCTACAAGCTATTCTCCTTACCGTCATCATTGACTGAGTTGAGAGACATTTTTCGGAATGGTTATTTGAAATGTATCAGCATCGTACACAAAATATTCCATCACAGATCATCCTTGACAAAATCAAAGCTGTTGCCGAATGGCGTTGTTGCATTTATCTTGTGGCAGGTCAATTCAAAAGAGTTACAAAAGAGTCACATCAAACAGTTGTATGACGTGAGAATGGCGATACTTTAATGATTATAGCTAACCATCAAATACAGATTACAGCTTCTTACCAATGCATTCAACTTTTTCCTTACGAAAAACCGTCACCAAGAGACATACCCCCTCCCTCTCCCCATAATAGAAGACCATTGCCAATTATATGACTTGAAAGCCAAACAGAAGACCACTGATCCTCTATTATGTCCCCGAAAAAAAATTGGAAAATACCCTATAGCGGACTTGTCAAAAACATTTCGCCAAAACGTACTTCTAATAGGGAATGGACTCATCTTTTGTAAGCATTAAGAATCATTGTGAGGATGCTGGATTGTTGTTGTTGTAGGGACGGTATTAATAGTAGAGACGAGTATTTATGTGTTCAAATGTTAGAACAGAAATTATTTTCCCATTATCCTCAACAAATATTTGATTACTGTGTTCAACACTATCCTATTCGATTTTACTCAATCACACAACATGAAGCTGATTTATTAAACAGAATTAATTCTTGGCATACGAACACTGCGTACGGTAATTATGTTTATACGATTTCAGATCAAATAACACAATTGACATCATTCAAAATATTTTACAATCTTCTAAGGTAGGCAAAAAAAGAAGATATCGGAATCCTCATAAAGTCATTTTTGGTTCGTAGAACGACAGTACTTACGCCCATTCAATCAATGCATCCTCATTTAAAGTCTACTCCAATTTCTCAAATACCTGCGCATATATCACCGACTAACGCGTCAAATTTATTCAGTTTTTGGGCATCAATTCCACCATATCAAGGACAAGAACTACCACAATCAAATCGTGTTATTGCACCAAAAATAATCAGACCTAAAGCTCAAATAGCACATAAGCAACAAACGAAACATTCGCCCTTGATATTTATGACAAAAAAGCAAAAGAATATTCAAAAACAACAGGTGCTATCATCAGAGACAAACGCACAAACCAAGCAAATTTCCAAACTATCAAAAGCCGGTAAAAAAAATTTCAGTTACTGTATTATATACATTCCTGTGTTAACTTTGCAAAATCCAATATCTGACTGGATAAATGAGACATTTATTCGAAAAAACAAATTATTATTCTGAAAGTTTAATAAACAGTTCACAGTAGCTTAACGCTTCAATAAAATGGTTTGGGTTTATTCAAGTGTTAAGCGATTTTTCGAATATTTTTTGTTTAGTAATATCAGATTCACATGCCTCTCATCCTCTGGCAGCATCGCCTGTTACAAATATAAAACTACCAGAAAGTGTGAATATTCTACAAGAACCAATAGTATCACATGAACTTCAGAATCAATTATCTGCTGCAACCCCAGGTACTTAATTATTAAATGCCTCTTTATAGATTTATTTATACTGCCCTTTGTCATTCTGGGAACTAGCGAACGCCTTTTTTTGTAAGAAGATCATGTAGCATTTGTGCCCTAGTTTATTGCGCGTAACAATGAATAAGCACTATGTTTGCCATCTAAAATAAGAATATAAACTTCCCGAATTTATTCTGTTGAGTAAAGAAAAAATCAGCTAATGGTTGGTGACTAGCAAGTAAACATGTTGTGGGAAAGTGGAAACGAGAGACTTTCTTCGTGAATTAAATAAGCGATTATCGGCTGCTATACTGTGATGCTAGAATAAATTGTATTAGATAGCAGAAAAAATCAGAACATCACAAACACATAAAAACATTTTCCAGATCAAAATTTTTCTAGCTAAGTCAAAAGATTCCACACTTTTGTTACGAATAGATTAGTAAAAATTGGAAAAGAGCTCATTCATTTCAGTGACATTCAACACAATTTCTTTAACTTCATTAGATAATCGTTCTTCATCGAGACAAGATGCAAAAATGACTTATAATAATTCAGTAAGTTAGATAGCTAGAACTATTTATGAGAAAGATAAAGAGGTTTTTCTTGTTTTCAGGCGAAGAACCCTCCATTATTACGTCCATTGTCAACTCCATCAACCACCAACGGCAAAAATTTCCATCGTTACATCGTATTCCAAGGTGAACAAATGTTATGCTATTATACGTCTCAGAGTGATAGTAGTGGTACAGAGATCAAAGCATGTCAGTGTCTTGCACTACAAGACGTAATAAGACTATTTTTTTCTAAATCAAATATCGACAGATTAATTCGATTATGTCGATTAAAACAAGTGACACGATATAAACCGGATAAAACTACGAATGTCGATTCTAATTTGCGACTAGTAAGTATCGAAGATTTACAGAAACACTGGAGTTATATAACCAAAGAAATGGATGGTACACAACAGCAAAAAACAGGTTCGGTCTTACAAAAATCTTTGCATTGCACAAATTTTAATTTTGTACACTATAACAGTGTATTGCGTGTTTAGAACCATTGAAAAACTCAACAGATCACACCTTGATGAAGTCGAACAAAATAATCGTCAATAATTCTGTCGTTAAAACAACAACAGTGCCACTGAGAGACACGCAGCAAAAGAATTTATCAAATAATGCTTCTATAATCAATGAAATAGCAAACCAGTCGAGTGATGTTAATACTTCACCATCGATATCCACTAATTCGACTTTCAAACCATCTGCCGAGAAAATATTACCATCAGTTGATGAATATTCAGCAACAAATATAGAAGAGGGAGAGATTGTATCAGAAAATAAAAATGAAACAGAGATATCCTCAGTAACAGAGGAATTTGAGTCATCACTAAAAATTGATGAATGTGTTCGTTCATCTGAACATTCAGACATGTCATTGCAAGTATTAAGTATCGAAGATAAATCATCACCAGCGACAGAAGACATAAACCCCCTCTCTTCAGCTTGTAAAATTCAAGACGACAATGTGAATGCAAAGAAACCATTAAAAGAGTATGTTTCTTTCTCGATAAATAACATTTTATCATCGGTTGACTTAGATGTTGAACAGGAAGCTTTATCTACTACTGAACGTGTCGAACATACTCAGTCTCATTGTATTTTAACACCAATATTAGACGATTTAACAGAAAAAGAGTCCTTAACAAATGTTCCATTGTCAAAAGATACTAGTTCGGATTTACTGCATAGTAAATTGTTAACATCAGATGTTCAACAAGAAACAATTACAAACAGCACACATATCTCAGTCGAGAGTTCAACATCTCCTCTTGATATGTCAGTTGTGCAAAATACGCCTCTTTCTTCTGTACTACCGTCTAGTCAGGAAACGGAAGTATCAGAGGAGTTGACAGTGCTCAATCAAATCGATGACCATTACGTCAAACCTAATGAAACGTTGATGGCAGCAACGGTTGATTCTTTGGACATACAGAATTCAGCAAAAGTGCTAATGTGTGACACATCTGTTATTGAGAATGAATCTAAATCCACATCAAAGCGAAAATTATCCGCATCATCGGAAGAATTATCGACAGATTCAAACAACAATAAAACACACAATCAACTGTCGAAACAACAGCTCGATGATCCTGGACGCGGTAGAAAGAGATTAAGAAGAGCGAAACGTTATGAGGATGATAGTGATTTTGACATGAAGCACACAAGCTGCACATCACTACCAGCAACAAAAACAAAATCGCCTATCAACAAACGACAAAAACCAACACGTGGAAAAATTATCCATAAATTAACTACTCGTCAACCAACAGATCGATATCCTCTTCGTGATAAATACCCAAAAATCAGAAGTCATATGCCACAGTGGACAAAACAATTTCACATTAGATCGTGTACTGTTCTACTAAGCAACTTGGATCCTACGACGTACGATTTATAAGGAAAGTTTATTGGTTAATGTCTGTTCTAGTGTTTGGTTATCAAGATGACTGTTTTCAAAACAGGATATTGATTTTGTGAACATTTCTTTTAATTGGTCTCTTCTTTTTCTTCCACCATAGAGATGTGCGTACTCGACCCTACTGGACGGTTGGGTACGGGTAGAGCAGTTACGATTACCGGTTCCGTTTTTTAAAATTTACCCCACATCCGCAAGATAGTGGAAAACCACAAAATTTTGATGAAAAAAAATTCAAGATTTTAGCTGAAATAAATTAAGTTTTAAAAGAGTTACCTGAGAACGTAATGATAACCGGACATTTCTAGCCAAAAAACGAAAGCTTTTAGCTGGAGATCGAAAACGTGAAAATTTGTGGGCATACGTGGGGTATGGGTACAACGTTTTGGGTTACGGGTCGGATACGGGTAAAAAACATTTTCGGATCGGTTACGGGTCGGGAAACGGTATCCGTGCACATCTCTATTCCATTGTCTACTGTGTAGGTTTTGAAATAATTTTTTCACGTTTTTAAAATAAATGAATTACAGCAGAGGATCAAATTAACTATAATGAATTTAGTCAAGTAGAAAAAACCTTATACAATCTACAATCTCAGAGCAACTTCTAACTGGATCAATGTATGTACAAGACGCTGCAATCGCTAAAATTGGTTAAATGAACGAGTTACGTTGTGATACAAAGAAAAAGTCATTCCAGAAACTTGACTTTCCACTAGTAATTTCTTATCCAATTGGGATGAATATGGAACAGTTGCAATTTTTTTTGGCATGCCAGCTGTGTGCAAAAAGTAAACGGCTACCAAGCTGTTCTTCGGGCGAAAAACGGAGACTGTTCAAGTTTAACCGTTTGAAGATCACTTTTCAAATACTCTGATCAATATCGGAATAATTAGGTATAAACAAACCGATGTAGCTTTTGGCCGCAACTGAGCTACTAGTCAATTCTCAGTTTGCCATTCGATTTTCCATAGCGAAAAGTCTTTTTAAAAAGCTTTTTTTGCAATAAATAAAATATATAGCACATGCATGTACAGAACTACTTTGCCATTTTTCTAAACAATTTTGTTGGAAAGTTTCGTGGGCCTCGCCTGTGGGACTCCATGCGATCATTTTGAAAAGTTTTTAAGATGATTTTTGCGATCACCGTGATCAGTTCTACTAGTTCTGAAAGTGTCATACGATTGGCCGAAAGTTGATGTAAAGTCTGTTACATTTCCAAAAGAACTACCCTATGGCCACCTTCTAAGGGCTTTAACTAAAGGTACTGCCACCTTCTAACTTACTACTATGTCAGAAGGTGTCAATTAGAGCTATTAACACCACCAAGGAGTCAATGATGCGTTGGCATGGCAATACGGTAGTAAGATAGAAGGTGACAATAGCTCTAGCTGACACCATTTGGAGTGACAATAGCTTGATGATACCTTTCAGTGTGACAATATCGCTACCGTTCAAAAAGACGTTAACATTTTCATCAGAATCAAAACTAATTTTGACTTAAAGATTAATTAAAATTAAAACAGAAGGATCTAACTAATTATATTTAATAATTGGCTAGGTACGCACTTATCTGATAATTATAAAAGTACATTTTGTTTCTCCACTTTTGATTGCCTCAAGTAGATGTTGCTCACTAATCTTTAACCGGTATTCGACTCATCGTAGCTAGCAATGTTAGAAGCGAATACTGTACGTTTTTCTTTCTCCTTCCGTTCTTTCATGTTTACTGTCGATTTTTTCATAAGGCTTTACATCATTTCCGAACAAAAGACTGAATATTGTTTGTGCCTAAAACTCTATAGCGGTACATTAAATTATGACAAATATACATAAGCCATTATTTTTATATTGAAAGAAAGATATTGTATTCTTCGTACAGCTTTGATGATATTGTGTAAAAGTTTAGTCATTTGGTCGATGTCCAGATTTCATAATTTTCTGTTTTTTCCTTTTCATACTCAATCTCACGTTGCTTACTGCCATTATATTTCAATTTGCAGAAGAGATTGCAAAGTCGATTTGTGGAAGAGTTATGTCACGTTTTTTTCTTATTTTTGCTCTATTATTCATATACAACACAAAAAGAAGTGACTTAAACCGTTTATATTTTCATCATTGTGTTTATAAAGAAACCGAACCCCTTAATGACTAAAAGTGTCGAGATTTTGATGACTTTAATTCGCTCATCACCGTTTCCCGATGATTAAACAAAGCAGTGATAAATGTTACAATCTTTGTCTGTTTGGTATTATTATACGTAATTTATATGTTGCGTAATGCAAGGACTGAATATTATAAAACTGATATCTTCAATCTTCGCTGTGTATAACAAGGAATATTGCCTCTACAGTGTACAGCTTCTAAATAGTAATAAGTCTTGTTCGGAAATGAAACTACGTCAAAAAATCGTGTTCAAAAGCGATGTGTAATATTTCAATAACTGTTGGTATCGAAAATTCAAAAAGAAAAATGCACTCAAAATAAAAACAGAAAATAATGAAATTTCATCTTTCCATAGAAACTAGTATTCCCAGGTTAACTATCTTGCAAAAATCGCGACGTGACTCCCGATGAAAAGTCATGGCGTGAACGCGTCACGCGAATAGCAGTGTAGTCGCTAAATGTGACGCCCTTACTGCGATCGGTATAAATTCACGATGAAGTGGAATTTCTGCTATACTTTCGGTAGACTCGCGACTTCCTAAGTCGCTATATGAGTCCCGCTTTCTATCCATTATACTAGAGTGAATCTTCATTCTCGCTATAAGAATCTCTATGCCGCGACATGAGTTCTACATTTTATGGAAAAAAGTCAGTGCGACAGACTGTTCTCGCTACATGAGTCCTACTTTCGCGGAGCGAATTTTTCATTCTCGCCATTTTATAATGTTGTTTTCTTGCTTGGAGTATCATCCAGCCGTGTGGTAAAGCTGACTCGATTATACCAGTTTTTCTTCTTTGCTACATGTTCATTCAACATTATTTACATACGTTATAAATCACAGTAAAATCACAAAACAGAAAGATAAGCATCAGAAAAAGAGTAATATCAGAAGTTTGTATTTCAGGGAGGAAAGATACTTGGTCAGCATCCAGTTTGGCACTTAGATGCACCATGTTTTACCGGTTTACTCTTCGGAACATGATACACGTGACAAGCACACAGTTATTTCAGAACAGTATATCTGGTGGAAAGTGAAGAAGTCCTTTTCGTCTTTTCTATTGTTACAAAGTTGAACAAAATGGTTTTTTTTGAAGCATGGCTAAGTCAGAAGGTATTTGAAAAATCAAATTCGAAAGTGTATGCTTCAAGAATATCATCAACGGTTGATCTAATGGTATCCACCTATATTTTTACAATTCTGGTTTGCCATGAGACTGGAATTAGCTCTCAAAATATACGTGAGATAGATTGATATCGTATTGCTCGTCTAACGTCGAAACGTTTGCTGTATGTGATGAAACATCCCGCTTACATTTACAGATGTGTATCCGAGAAATACTACCGCTATGAACAGTTCGTTGCTAGAGCTAATCTAGCATCCTGTGAATGAGGTGCTCTGGAGCTATTTATTTTGAGATCTTTTAACACGGTCCACATGCTAATTGAATCTATACAGGCGAATCTCTCAGATCTTGTGCATTTTCTGACAAAGCTAAGCCATTTTTTTACTTTCAAAACTGTTAGGAGAAAAACGGCTCACCTTTGTAACAAATGTGGTAAAAACGAAAGGGTTTATTTTTTTTCTGCTTCCACACACTGAAATTGCTGCGTACTTGCCACAATTTTAGTTATATATTATTTAATATTTCAAACTTATATATAAAAGCAGTGTATGGCTGCAATAGACTACACGACAAAGTGATCTTAACAATGCGATAACAAAAAAGAAATGACTATTAAAAGAAAACACACACGTTGTGTATACAATAGGTTAAAGATAAAAGAAGAGAACAACGTAACCATGAGCACAACACACATACACGTGGCCTGTTCTTTTCTTTTTCTCACTATGTGTGCGTTATATAAGTTCAGAAAGATAGTATAAGGTATAACACAGAACAACCAAGTACTCGCGCCGCGACGTTTTAAAACTCCTCTACTTGGACCACAACTCAGCGATAAAAATCGCGACTTGCGAAGCGACTAGGCGAATACTACTGTTTATATATCTGTGATTCTCTCGGAGCGACTCACCATATCGCGAATCGTGTCGCGATAATACAGAGACCGCGCTAAGAAATATTCACTGGTTTCCTTGAAAATTGATCAACTTTTCAACTCCTGCCACGAACATTAATCGTGTAGCGAATCTTAAAAAAAGATTTAGGTCAAGATCACGGCGCGAGTTTAAGAAGTCAGCACGCTTCGCGAACTCACGACAACTCTTAAAAATTTCTCTTCCCTCTAGATAAGAATTTCTCAAGATCCCGCCGCGGCTTCGCGAAAGCATAGCGTTCACGCTGTGATAGTTAAATCGCGACGTGACTCTCAGAAAAAAAATTTCAATAAATTAAGACTCTCTTAAGATCTTGTCGCACGAGCGCGACTTTATAGCGATCACGTCGCCAGTGATAGGAGTTCATAGCGATCGCTTCGCGAATGTGGCATGACAGTTGACCTGGTTAATTCTGTTAGTAGAAAAGAAAGTTTGATTTCATAAGACCAGTGGAAAACAAACCCAAACTTGTTTTCGTTGAAATAACGAATGGCGAGCAAAAACGTATCATTTTTAAGTGCACGAAAATGAAAGAATCTTATACATTATTTGTTAAATAACAATCCAACGTTAGAATATCGAACAGAGAGAGAAGGAAGAGTTCTGTAGCGCAGTCAGTGATTCTTTTAAGCGCAAAAGATAACTCTAACTAATCTTTTTCCAAAAAGCTCTGAGAAGAGACAAAGATAAAAATGTTCAGCTGATCCAGATATATGTTTCTGGCTAACTGACTTGATCATGTAGTGTTAAAACTGCATTA